TATTCTATTCTATTCTTTCATTCTTTGACAAATTGACTAAATTAGTAGACCAGCAAAATGCAATGGACAAAGTATACTTAGACTTCAGTAAAGTATTTGACGGATCATAACCTACTTCTCAGTTAACCTAAAAAAAAAAGTGGGGTAGACAGCATCACCACCAGATGGATTTGTAAATGGCTGACAAACTGTACTCAACGAGTCATCCCTAATGGTGCTACTACATCGACATGGAGGGAAGTAAGCAGTGGGGTACCACAAGGTTCTGTCTTAGGGCTAGTGCTCTTCAACACCTTCATAGATTACTTAGATGAAGGAATAGAAGGGGAACCCATCAAATTTGCAGGTGACACTAAGCTGGCAGGAGTAGCCAACACTCCAGAAGACGAGCTCAGGGTCCAAAATGTTCTTGACAGACTTGAACAATGGGCCCTTATCCAACAGCATGAAATTTAATGTGGAGAAGGTTTTACATTTAGGTAAGCAAGGTTTTACATTTAGGTAAGAAAAACCAAAGGTGCAAGTATCAATTAGATAAAAAACCTGGCTCAAAAACAATGACTTGTGAGAGGGACTGTGGTGTCCTAGTGGATGATCACTTAAACATGAGCCAGCCATGTGCAGCAGCAGCAGCCCAAAAAGCGAATACAACACTTGGTTGTATATAAGCAGAGGCATAAAATCAAGATCACATGAAGTATTAGTACTGTTTTATAAAGCCTTAGTAAGACCACACTATCAACTCAAAAATAATTCTCCGGTCTTTTAGAGTTGCCAGCAGAAAGGAAGTGCGGAAAGTAGTGCATTCCTTAAATGCTTTCATAGATAATTGCTAGGCGGCAGAAGCTTCTGGTGCGCAAGATTATTACTGGAGAGCATGATTGATGACTCTTGACTATGGATGGGTCCCATTGGAGAATATACATCGAGGGGACGGGGTGGGGAAACCAGGGTCAAGGGTGAAATGAATGATGTGTCTCAGAGTCGGCTGCACCCAGGCAGCACCGGCATGTTCACTCCTAATAAATCTTTTTTTTTTTTTTTAACTCCGAGAGATGCGGCTAGAGACTCATGATCTGAATGGGGCTGGATGCCAGAGCCCTGACACACACCTGGAATACCGCAACCAATTTTGATCACCACATTACCAAAAAAAAAGATTTCGAGACTTTGGGAAAAGTGCAGAAAGGAGCAACTGATTAAAGGCAGGGGTGGGATTCAAAAATCCCAGCAACCGGTTTGCTGACCAGTTGCTGGGTGGGCGTGGCCATGGTGGGCGTGGCCTACCAGAACTTTCAGGAGGGCCGTTTTTCACCTTCCCCAGAGTCCGGAGGCTTCCCTTGGGACTCTGGGAGGGCGAAAATGGCCTCCCCCGGGCTCCGGAGGCCCACCAGAAGCCAGAAACAGGCCCATTTCTGGACTTCCGGAACTCCCGTGAGGGCTGTTTTATGCCTTCCCCAGAGTCCGGAGGCTTCCCTTGGGCCTCTGGGAGGGCGAAAACAGCCTCCCCCGGGCTCCGGAGGCCCACCTGAAGCCAGAAACAGGCCCATTTCTGGACTTCCGGAACTCCCAGTTTGGCCATTTCTCACCCTCCCAGAGCCTCCGCCCAGATCCTGCACTTGCCTGCACCCAAAACATGCTGCATGGAGACTCCTGGGAGGGATGGGGTAGGGTGGGCAGGGCCAGAAGTTTGATTTAACATCCGGTTCCCCTGAACTGGTCCGAACCGGTAGAATCCCACCCCGATTAAAGGCCTGGAGACCAAAACAGATAAAGAACAGTTGCGGTATTTGGTTATGGCTAGTCTAGAGAAAAGGACTAGCGGGGGGAACGTGATAGCAGTATTCCAGTATTCCTGTGAACGTTAACTTTGGCTTATAAACCAAGTAGGGAATTTCCAAGCAGAGTCCGCTAACAACAATGGGAGATTTTCCTAGATCGCGAGAGGGCTTTTTAAAACCAAATGAAGACATCCGACTACCTGATTAAAACTGAATTTGGGAAGGAGACTCTTATCTTTTTATCTCTAGCATCCAAAACGGGTTATTTTGCTTTTAAGCAAAAGGGAATGGGGCAGGTCCATGGTGGGATTCAATTTTTTTTAAACTACTGGTTCTGTGGGCGTGGCTTGGTGGGCATGGTGTGGCTTGGTGGGCGTGGCTTGGTGGGTGTGAGTGGGGAAGGATACTGTAAAATCTCCATTCCCTCCCCATCCCACTAGCCTGCTTTCCAGCTCTGTTCTCCTGTGCAGGGCAACCAAAGGAGACCCAGCCGATCAGCTGGGACTCAATGGGAGGTAGAGAATAGAAGGGGGCGGGGGCAGTCAGAGGTGGGATTTGCTGGTTCTCCAAACTAGTCAAAATTTCCGCTACCGGTTCTCCAGAACTGATCAGAACCTGCTGAATACCACCTCTGGGGCAGCTAGTCCACCTCTGGGGCAGCTAGTCCACCTCTGGGGCAGCTAGTCAATCAAGACAACCAGACAATCGAAGCTCTGCCTGCTTTTCTTCTCCGCGCTGCTGACCTTGACTGATCTGGAAAAACCTATGCAGGCGGAGGCTGGAAGGGACACCAC